TTCTCCCGTCCACAACACCTTCCCTCCCCAGCCGTCACCCCCTTTGCCTTCTCCTCACATCCCAATCTCCCCCCCTCCCCTAAATAACTCCTCCCATGGCCCACAGTTAGCAGTACCGACTCCTCAGTTAAAACGTCACTGGCTATGGTACTGCCACTGCCGTGCACACAAGGAGCACTACATCATAAGGTTTTGCTGGTGGAAAAAATTTAAGTTTGTTAAAATTTAATATAACTTTAAAAGATAAACAAATTTGTTTAATCCTATGGGTTTGTTCATTTGCATACGCCATGTGTAATCACAGTAGGATAATTCCAATTGACTACTCTTTGCAACGAAACCCTAGCACACGTTAAAAGGAGACAAACTACGCAATAATAATTATGTAAGCATCTGGTCTGCTATTGTTTTTGTAGGCCCTATTTCTGCACATTTAGATGAGTTTTTTTTTTTTCAAAATCACTGAATGTAAGTAATTAGATTTTTTTGACTTCATCTAGCAAGTTCGAGAGGCTGAGCGGAAAAATAACAAAACAACAACAACAACAACAACAACAACAACAAAAACACGGTTTGAGAGTCGGCAAGGGGGCAAAGTTTTGTAAACACAAAGGTCATCTCTACGAGATCAACTCGCTGTCCCTTTACGTTGTGGGGTTGAAAGTGTTGGCGGTTATTTTGGGCCGTCGGTGGCGAGGAGACAACAACAATAGATCTTTAAGTCTTAGTAAGAGTTTTACGGCACTTGCAACACAATAAGGTCATATAAATGCCGAAGGTCAGAGGTGTTACAAGAGAGTAACAAACATAAAAAAGGAGGAGTGATAAAGACGATAGTTGTTTAGTAGGAAAGAAGAAGCAAACCACACCAGAGCACCCGCCAACCACCCACAACGATAGATCTACCAAAAACCTAAAATCAAACTAAAAAGTAGCCTACAATGAATTACTTTTTGCCTCTATAAATTACGATTTATGGAACGCAGGAATACGCTTTTTGTCGAAGATTTACCTAATCACCCAATTCTCTGGCCTTGCAGTGAAGAGGTTAATGCTTAAAACATTGACTATCCTGTCAAAGGGATTATTATGACATAATTTACCTAAAATCAAAATGTAGATGTTTTTCTACGCCACCATCGACGCAATTTAAGAGGCGGGCTTCCACCCAACTTGCCTGGGGCAACCTGAGCTAAGAAGGATACTAAACCCCTAGCAGAAAGACCGAAACATTCAATAAAAATTCTCCCCACGTTGGAATCGATCTGAAGTCTTTTGCGAACTACATCAATCGCTGGGCAATCGCTGCACCAGAGACACCGTTATAATGACAACATGAAATTGTTGGGAAAATACAGAAATTTTAAAGAATAGGAAACGTTTACCCTTGGGACAACTGGCACCTGTGACACTGCAGGCAGTCTCCAATCCTGCACAGCCCACATTAAGCTGCATGGCCTTCAAATTTAGATGTAGAGTGACAGCCGTAATGTTATTGATACTGCTGTTACTGCTGCTTCTACTGTTTGTTACCACTATCGTTACTGCTACTGCAGTTGCTGCTGCTTCTGCTGGTAACAATTCTGCTGCCGCTACTACTACTTTACTGTTACTGATACCAATAGCTCAATTTGTGCAACCCTGGACTACTGTGCAGGTATTCCTTGTCTGAATCCCCAGCTTGAACTTATATGATTGCTTTGGGAGTATTAGGGGTTCTTCCAAGTCAACTAGATATTACCGGCGATGTACATTAATATCCAGGGTTGCCAAATTCCGAAATTGAATAGTTTTAAGAGCCCTTTGCAACCCCGTACATCAGACTTTAGTGCCCATCTTCGATAGGACCGATCCGAAAGGGAACATTCGTGTAAAAGGCATATCAGTATCCAAGGTCCTACATCGTAAAGAACTTCCGTGCTTACAAAGATGTTCAATGTAACACCATACCATACACTAGGCTGCTTTACAAAAATCCCTCTGGTCAATAAGAAATTAAAACCAGCAATAAAGAACCCGTATATCAGAGCTGATACTTCTATGTTGCCGAATTTTTGCTAAAATAATGACTTAAAATTAATAACAATAAATAATAACTAGCACTTATATAGCACAGATCCCCGCTACAAGCGCTTTACACACTATATTAATTATTATAACCCCAGCAGACTATAGAACTTAGAAACATTCTCAGCTTTCCGGGAAGCATACAGTTCAAGCAGCTGATAAAGCGCTCAAACACTAACAAACTGACAAGTTCTTTCACTATCTATTGCTGGGTACCCATTCCCCACCTGGGCGAAGTGAAGAAAATTCGAGTAACGTGCCTTTTTCAATGACACAACATCGGGCCCCTGACGAGATTCGAACACACGACCTTACAGTTGCAAGTCTGAGGGCTCAACCACTAAGCCACCGATGTCACTTACTTATTTTCGAACCGTATCCTTTCAGCGTGAGGCAGATAATCTACATGTATTATGTTACACTGGATGAGGAGAAATTCCAAATCTTCCATTCATATTGTGACTCTGACATCTGACTTGGGCATAACACAAAACTGCCTTCTGCCTACAGCAGAACGCCTGGTTGACCAAATCCTTATCGATTGGACAGACCACTGCATGTCAAGGTTTTGATTGCCAGGGCCCACTTCTGCCCCATTTAAGTGGCTGAAAATTTCACACTACCCATCCACAAGAATTTCCAAGCGGGACATGGTACACAGGATCCCGTGTCGGAATCCCTGCATGTTTATTAGGACGCTAAAAGAATATTCGGAGTAAATAATCCGGGAGCAAAATGCTGCATTTTAAAAGTTAATAACCTGTTTGTCTACTTGCTACCTACCACTCGCTTACGAATACCCCAACATACCTGCCACTGCAGTGTCTTCCTACTTACCTCCTCTCGACACTTGTCTTGGCCCGATAGAATAGGCTAACACTAACAATGTCACCTTAGCAGAAACTGTGTCCACCACTTTTAAACTTCACGGTGACATTGAAGATGGTTCCAGTAGGGAACGGGATAAACAGTGTCCTTGTCCCTCGAGACTCATTGGAGGAGAGGAAGATAGGACATAACGCTAACATTAGTTAAACGCAGTCCCACATCATCACTCATCACCACCATTATTTCTAAAATCGTCTTTGCTCTCAGATTAATGACTTACATCTATAATCCTTGAATCTCTATCTGCAACAGTTACTTGTTATACTAAGTGTGCACGTAATACACTATTTATTGGACACTGTCATAAGCACTTTTTCTTCTAATCAGATGGCGTCAATCTCATATAAATGGGCAAGGGATTTTAAAAAATGACACCCGTTACCACTCAGGTGGTCCCTACCACCCACTGAAATAACCAAATCGCCCTCAAGCCGGCGATATATCGTCCAGGTCAGCAAGCACTGACCCAAATATAATCTCTCTCTTCCCGAAACCAAACCCACCCACCCCCTCTATCCCCTGCAGTACTTAATTTGTTTCATTAAAAAAAAAAAAAAAATC